AAACAACGAAAGCGCTCTTCTTTTTCCCCCAGCACGGGTCCATTTGCACTTGCACTCTAATAGGAACCGTTCTTTTTTTTTCTTCTTTTCTTTGTAAGTCGGGTGTTGTTGGTTTTTTTTTTTTAATCAAACAGCCTTTAAAATGATCTCTAGTGGTCACACACTGAAAAATAGTGATTTCTCAAAGCATGGAGACTGGAATGTAAAGTGATTATGAACTATATAGTGATTATGAACCCATGAAGTCACCTAAGACTAACGCAGCTGTGTAGTTTGTGGATGATGATGAGGAGAATATTGGATTTATACCCCACCCTTCTCTCGGAGTCTCAAAGCGGCTTACAATCCCCTTTCCCTTCCCCTCCCCACAACAGACACCCGGTGGGGGAGGTGGCTCAGGACTGCTCTTGAGAGAACGGCTCTGAGAGAACTTGTGACTGGCCCAAGGTCACACCAGCAGCTGCACGTGGAGGAGTGGGGAATCAAACCTGGTTCTCCCAAATGAGAGTCCACGCTTTTAACCACGACACCACACTAGCCCAAAGCAGTCAACTCAGACTGCTGACGGCTCTCCAACGTCTAGAATGAAGAGAGCACTTTTGCTTTTCCCACTAACCCAAATCGTTTTCACTGCGGACTGAATGCTTCCACATGCAAAGCGTCTTCCCGACTGTTTAGCTACATACCCCCCACACACACCCCGGGGCAGAATTGGCCCAGGGTAGCCCAGTCTCGTCAGGCCTCAGAAGCTAAGCAGGATCAGCTTCTGGTCAGTAATAATAACAACTAACAATTATCGTATGGCAGTGTGTGTCATATAGGTTGGAGATCCTAAGATTGACTGGCAGCCAGGAGCTCAAGCTCTTTAGCGTTATCTGCCACTAGGTGGCGAGCTAGACTTGTGTTTTTTTTTTAAGGCAAGATACTTTTTTCAGTGAATCTGGGCCTTGCTGCGTTGATCTTTGGTTTCAACCAGAGACGTTTTAACTGTTAGTGCAAGCTGACTTGAGCCGAGAGGAAAGGTGGGAGACAAATGTTTGAATAAATAAACCATGAAATCATAGAGTTGGCAGGGACCTCCAGGGTCATCGAGTCCAACCCCCTGCACAAGGCAGGAAATTCACAAATAGCCCCCCCCCCACACCACTGATGTAGCAGAGGTCCATCAGTGGCTATTAGCCACAAAGTATAGATAGGGACTCTGGAGCAAGTGATGCTCTGTCATCTTGGTGCTTGGGGGGGTCAACAGTGGGATGGCTTCTAATGTCCTGGCCCCACTGGTGGCCCTCCTGATGGCCCCTGGTATTTCTGGCCACTGTGTGATACAGAGTGTTGGACTGGATGGGCCTTTGGCCTGATCCAACACTGGCTTCTCTCTTATGTTCTTATGTTCTTACCACCAGTGACCCCTGCTCCATGCCCAGAAGATGACAGAAAATCTCCAGGATCCCCGGCCAAACTGGCCTGGAGAACAATTGCTTCTGGACCCCAAAGTGACGATCAGCATTTCCCTGGGC